ACCCATGTATATGAAATATTTCTATATATATATATATATATATATATATATATATATATATATTCACATATATATTTTTATCCTCGCCTGAGGACATTTTTGCATTTATGTTCAGATAGAGCAGGAGGGAGAGAGAGAGGAAGAGAGAGAAAGATCAGTGTGAGAGAGACACATCGACTGGCTGCCACCCACACAACCCCAACCAGGCCTGGGGACAAACTGCAACCGAGGTATGTGCCCTTAGCGGGAATTAAACCTGGAACTCTCTGGTCCATGGGCCAACACTCTAACCGCTGAGCCAAACTGGCCAGGGCCACAATGCATTTTTATAGTATATCTATATACAAAAAAAAAAAACTATAATCAGCTTTAAAATAATATATACCCGATGTTCATTGTATTCAACATTGAGGAAGGGGCAGTATTTTTGAGTTGTAAAAGGGGGACAATCGTCAGTTCTCTGTACTGTTAGAATGTCTTGCAACAACTATATATGCACGATGATGTTAGTAATTCAAATATTTAAATAAGCCTAAAAACAGGAACAGGAGCTGTGTTTTAACCAGAAAAAGTTACTGCTGAATGATGTAACAGACAAAGCCTGAAATATGAACAGCTTAATATAATAAAAGTTTGTTTCTCCATGTGGCTTGGTAGACATTCTGTACTAATGGTTGACACAGGGGTCCTGGCTGCTTGCTTCTTGTAGGTTCACTCTATTATCACATGATTTTCATGTTTACTGATTGATGTGAGAAAAAAATACAAACAGTGTTAAACTGCATGTCTAATGTTTTGGCCTGGAAATGACAAATACTGCTTCTGCTCACAGACCAATGGCAAGGGCTGGCCCCAGGATCTTTTCTAACTACAAATTCACTTGGTACTATAGTTTCCCCATGGGCCCAGGAAGGAAAGGAAGACAGGGTGTGAAGGAACACTTGCAGTCTCCCCCATAAATTGTTATATATAGGTGCTCAATGGAGTATTGATGTTAGAATATTTGTGACAAACACTCTCTTTATGTCCTTGTACAGTTCCTGAGGAAGCCAAATTTCCTTGAGGTTCTCCAACTTTTTTGAGATACTATTATATGATAGTTATTTCCAAACACAGGCTCATGTCCAGTTTTCAAAAGGATCCTGTAAAATACCAGCTGGAGAGTTTGACCTTCTTCAATCCATAGTACCTTTCTGCATTGACCCAAGCAAAAACTTGTAAAATCTGAATAGAATAAGAAGTACCCTTCTTTTTGGTGCCTGGACAAAATCTATGAGTTTCAGCCACTTTCCAGATGACGAAACACGTGTATAGGTGCCTTTAGGCACAAGGAAAAATTAGGATTTCCACCTGGGTCATGTAATTAGACATGAGGTTGTAGAAGGTCAATGAATTATTTTTAATCTTGCTGACCAAAGATGGCATGTCTGTCAATAAGTGATTTTGTGTGTGTGTGTTCCGGGAAAGGTACCAGAGATTTTAGGAAATAGCTCCTTAGTAGATGTTTCCCAAGCAATGATTTCATTGTTCTTGGATCCTTCCTCAACTTGGTCATTAACCATATAGGTAATCTCATAGGTGTATGCTCAGTGGCCAGTCTCAAAAAAACAAAACAGCTCCTTAAATTTTAATGCAAAGTATCAGGGTGTTTTCAAAACTCCCTCTCCAACTTCAGTTTTATATCCCGGAAATTAGTAAGTTCTATGATGTATCAGACTACAGTCACTAGCTCTTAGGGAAAACACCTTGAGAATGTGGTGGAAATGGCAAGTGAGTGGTCAGGTTTAAATTTCAATATCAAAGTTACCTTTTATGTAAAACAGGATGTTGCTATCACAGGGGTAGATGGTGAAGGTTGGGGCCACTAGGGAGTTGGAATGCTCTAAGTCAGAAAGAGGAAAGGTGATTTGGGGCCTGTTTCTTCCACAGCAAGGTGCAGCTTTCAGAGGAAGAGTAAAGAGTTAGTGGCCAGATCAGGTTCCAGTTTGGACAAGAGGGCACACTGGGGAAGAGCTAGGAATAGGGTGCTATAATGCAGAGAGCTGGAGCTAGACAAAAATGCCTGTCTTTAGGTAGAGTCAGTTCTCAAGGAACCCTGGGACTTAGGGGTAGACATCCCTACTTAAATGAAGCCCACAGACAATGGCTAAATTGTGTTTCTTCTTTCAACCTTCCTTCTTTCAACGAGGCATTCACGAATAGTGAGAAGGGAAATAAATGAGGAGACTGAAGGTCTGACTCAAGCTCAGAAGAATGAACAGAATGGGCTCTAGAAAAATTCAGAGAATAGGTCTAGTTCCAGCTCTGACACATACTAGACATGTGAAATTGGGGACAAGCACAAGCTCTTTGAGCCTGATAATCTTCATATGTGAATTTTGTGTGATAAGCCCTGTCTTTCTAGGACTGTTAAATGTGTTGAAGTTTATGAGGCACATGACACAAGTGCCTGACATGTTTTAAAAGTTCAATGAATGAGAATTTTTATTATGATTATGTTGATCCCCGACCCCACCACCCTCATCTGTGTATATGTGTGTGAGTGTTTTCTACATCTAGGTTTTCTTAGAAAACATAAGTGCTATAGGGCATTGGTATTCCAAACACAATCCTCAGCAAGTAAAACTGTAAAATCTTCCACTCAGAGTTTATGTTCTTTAATTTGAGTGTGGGAATGTCCTCCCCAGCAGCATGGAACTGAAATCTCCTATAATTTGTGTTAAGGATCAACTCTTCACCTCCCTCCAAGCTGCCCTTTGTAAGGGATCAGAATATATCCCCCCCTCCAATATGTCACTTTGTCATATTGTTTATTTTGTATTAAAGGTACCTAAGAAACAGCTGGTGCAAGAGGGACACTCTTACCCTTCTTTGTACTCCTGAAAGCAAGAAATAAATCTCCCATGTGAAAGTTGCCCTCCCTATTCCAAAAAGATAGAAGTTATCCCTATCAGTGGAGAGAGGGGATTTAAAACCTAGATGGTTATATAAACAAGCCTTATTTCATCTTCACCAATTTACTACCCTAATCCCAAACCCCTGTACCTATCAATTCTTCACAAATTTATTATTTGCCTAAAATATATAAGCATTTCCTGCTTTAGTCACTTCTTTGAGTCTCGTATTTTTGTGTGACTCCCATACCTACATAATGATATTTATTTCTCTCTTATTAATTTTTTTATACAATGGGGATTTATAGCCAAGATACTAGGATAGAGGTAAAATTATTTTTCCTATATCTCCCATTACAACTTTCCAGGGTTTTTTAAAAAAAACCCTCTCCCAAAGATTGATTTTAGAGAGGAGGAGGAAGAGGAGAAGGAGGAGAGAGAGAGAGATTGATTTCCTCTTGCATATGCCCCAAATGGGGACCGAATCCACAACCTAGGTATGTGTTCTGACCAGGAATAGCACCTGAAACCTTTCAGGTGTAAGAGATGACACTCCAACCAACTGAGTCACACTGGCCAGGGCATAGCATCCCCCTCTTTCATTCTTTTTACCCCTACTAAAAATTTAGCCTTTGTTAATTGTTTGCCAAATTACAATGAATAAAGCTTACTTAAATTTTCCTTGGAATGAAGAGGACACTGACTACTAGGCCATGGCAGAGTGCCAGGCCGGTGGTTTCTGGGTGTTTAATCTTCAGGGAGTATCATCTCTATTTCTCAGAAACTCCTTACAGATGATGTATATCAATGAAACAACTACTTTGTGCACTGAATCCCACTGCACCAGCACAGAAATGCAGGGTACCTTCTATTCCAGTACCAGGTGAGAATTTGCCTCTGGTTTACTTGGGATCCAAAAATAAATAAGAGTTAACAGCAGTTTTACACTATAGGCTTTGGGTTTCAACTTTGAGACACACTGTCTAGATTGCTCCCTGCTCATTATGCCCTCAGCCAGTTTAATGTAAAATTAACTACCACTGAAGGACTTGAAGTTTCCTAAGGCTCCAAACTGCCATGCCTAACAGCATTAACACTTAGACAGTCTCATATGAACTTTCCACCTATCTATTCACAGCTTCATTTTACTTCTCCTTTGGATATTAGAAGATCGCATGTCCTTAAAAGATTATTGCTTCTCTATGTTATAATTCCTTAAATCCTACCATTCCCAGTACTGGTGCAGTGCTTGCTAAAAGGCAGGTGTTTAATGAAGTTTCTGAGGGGAAAATGAGCTAGAGAACATGAGGTCTAATTAAGATTTATTTCTTCTACATTTTTGAATGAACTTGGAAAATACATGTATGTATCACTAAATTTTACACAGCAAGAACTAAAAAGTCAAGATTTGAATATCATTTAGATTTCCTTCTCTATTGATCCCTTCTTTTTTTTTTATCCTCACCTGACAATACTTTTCTATTTATTTTCAGATACAGTGCGAGAGAGACAGAGAGGGAGAGAGAGAAACATCGATGTGAGAGGGAAACATCGACTGGTTGCCACCCACACGACCCCAACCAGGGCCAGGGACAAACCACAACTGAGGTATGTGACCTTGACCGGAATTGAACCCACAACTCATCGGTCCATGGGCCAACACTCTACCTGCTGAGCCAAACTGGCCAGGGCAATCCAAACTTCTTAAAGCTCATTTATTTTACATTTCCAGGGACATGGCTATAGCAATGCCAAGTTGCCTTTTTCCACATGACAACATAAGATGGATGGTTGATTTCACATTTTGTTTTCCAAAACAACAAAAATTCTTACAACAAAAGCTCCTTAGAACATTACATGGGTAACCAACTATCATTAATGAATTTAGAGATTTTGAAGCTAATTAAATATATACTAAAAATATATATATATATTTGAGTAATACATATGTCAACAAATAAAAGAATAAATTTTCAAGTTACACATATCAAAGAGGAACACAGACATATATACTGTATTCCTTTCAGCCCCATGCAGACCTAAATTCTATGAACACAAACTGCTTCTTCAAACAAAGTAAGAATAAACTAACTATCCCTGACTTCCCTAGGTATGGGAGGAGCTGCCAGGATTGGCCTTAGAACTGGCAGTGGCCACAGAAGTTGAGATATCCCTGGCTGAAATTCTGGCTCAGATGCTCTCTTCTTAATCTTGCAATGCATCTTCATACTGAGATGGGAAACAACTTGGGTCAGTCCCATGAACCTTGGCCATGAATTCTAGGACTTGCATCTTAGTGGTTTCGGCATGGGCTTTCGGGCCCCACAGAAATTCGAATTTTGCAGGATCACTGTTGGCCACCTGCTGGTACATCAGGTATTCTTCCTTCACAAAATATTTAGTGATGAGCTTCCTGGGCTCTCCAAAGATGTAGTGCTTCTTCCCAGGATATAAACTCATCGCACTCAGAACTTCCCAGATTTCCTCTTCAGTGGCACGGTTGCCTTTCATGAAGATCACACCCAGGATAAGTATCAGGATGCCAGTCTTAGGCACACCAAATTCACCATGCAGCATCCCATCATAGGTAAGGCCTAGTTTGATGAAGACGGCATAGCAGTGGTTAGTGGGATCCACTTCCTTCACATCAAAGCCAAAGATTATCTCCATGCATATAGAGGCTCTCAGGAAGATCTCAATGAAGTGGTCTTGGTACTTTTTGGTGATAATCTTCAATATGTCAGCCTTGGTTATTGGCTCTTTCATTTGATACTTGAACAGCAAAAAATTCACCAATGAAGCCACATTTTCATCTAGAGCATCTGTGGACACATTCATGGGGTCTGGAACTGCCACTGAGGTGCCACTCTCTTCCTTTTGGCTACTGGAGCTCTCAGAGGATTCACTTGATGAGGTGACTGTGGTGACAACTAAGGTGGAGCAGAAACTCTGAGGACTCTCAGAGGAACTTGGGATACCAGCATCAAGAGCCTCCTTCAAATTGCCAGGCATTGGAGGATGGGAGAAGAGACAGGCCTCCTCCACAACCTCAGATTCCTGTGCAACCTCCAGGCCCTGGTTTTCACTGTGGGTCTGAAGGGGTTGATCAGGTGAGCACTGTGGATTCTTCTTTTGAAAAGACATGACGACTCTTGGAGGTGACCGTAATCAGGAGTTTCAACAGGAATGCAATAGAAAATCACTGCCTAAGGGAAAGAAGGAAGATGTGAGTGGCCACAGCTGCTAAGCTCAACTGTGGTGGCTCTGATAAAAGCTGCCTCCAATGGACCTCTGCTGACAACAGTGCTACAGGACCTCACAGATCACCTGAACTCCTGGTTGCTGTGTCCCCCAGGGGCATGAAAGAAACACTCAATGTTCCTCAGGGTACAGCTGGTTAAGCCAGGCTAGAATTCTCAGGGATGACATCAGGAAGGTTTGGCTGGGCTCTGTAGAGCCATTTGTATTCTGAGGACTGTGGCCCTCACTCAGGTTCAATACCAAGGTATTCCATAGGGCCAGTGTCATCTCCCTCATGCTAAATATGCTTTCCCCTAAGACCAACACACATCTCCTTTCAGTCCTTATTCTGTGTCTCCCTAAGGAATCCTGCACTGCCTATTCACTCTGTCCACTGCTGATCTCAACTTGGCCCCTTCAGACCTAAACTGCCATCTCCCCAGACCCTAGTGTTTGAAGAGAGGTGTTAAGACTACCAGTCATCCACACAAACAAATAAAACAGAAACAGACTTACAGGTACAGGTAAAGGACTGATGGTTACCAGTGGGGAAGGAGGTTTGGGAACAGGGTGAAAAGGTGAAGAAATTGAGAAGTACAGATTGGTAGTTAGAAATGATCACAGGGTTGCAACAGCAAAGGAAAAAGAGTCAATAATATTCCAATATCTATGTATGGCGCCAGGTGGGTACTGTAAATTTCAGGGAGAGGGAACACTCTGTAAAGTATATGATTGTCTAACTGCTATGCTTTACACCTGAAACTAATACACAAAATACTGAATGTAAAGCATAATTAAAATAAATAAATAAGCATGCTGGGGGATTCACAGTGAGAAATGAGAGCAATGTGATGATGGAACCAGATATTAATGATGCTGCCACAAGCCAGGGGATGCCAGCAGCTATTGGAAGCTGGAAATGACAAGTAACCGATTCTCTCCTGGAGCCTCCAGAACAAACCAGCCCTGTAGACATCTTGATATGAGCCTGTGAGACTCATTTCAGACTTTGGCTTCTATAAGCCACCAAGTTTGTGTTGATTAGTTATAGCAGCAATATGAACTTTCTTACCATTGTTAAAAATTACTTCTGAAAAATTGAAAAATCTTTACTGTCATACAGATATAACAGTAAACACAAGCTAGAGATTTTATTTAACTCATGAGAAAAACAAGCTGATGTTTTAACTGGTTCAAAAAAAAGAAGTTGCATAATACAAATTTATACAGAATAAAGAATGTTGAAAGGAACCTACAAAAGAAGCCCAATTTTTTTTTTTTTTTCATTCCACTGAGGGAGTAAGGAAAGTCATCCAGCTTCTAACAGATGGGACAAATTTCCATGTCTATCAGGTTCCATGTAGGGTGTTAGTGTTGAAAAATATCTGCCAGGGGACTCAGGCCTAAGCTGGTTTGTAGAGAGAGCTCACTGCACAGAAGTTCTCAACCTGTGGGTCGCGACCCCTGTGGGGGTCGAATGACCCTTTCACAGGGGTCGCCTAAGACCATCAGAAAACATATTCCCGATGGTCTTCGGAACTGAGACACCGCTCCTCTGTCTCCAGGCGGGTCCACCCACATGCAGATACGCCCACATACAACATGAGGAACTGTATTAAAGGTTCCCGGCATTAGGAAAGTTGAGAACCACTAAGGGCCAGTCTAAGAATAGCTAGGAATTGGGATTTCACTGTAGACTGCTGTGGGCCAGAGCTGGTCCACAGGAAGTGGCCCATTGAACGGCAGAGAAACTTCCCAGAGAATGAGTACCCTGGACCACTCACAAGCTAATCTGACAATTGCACATACACCCATATATAAGTAACAAAAATGAGGTGAAATGGTGAGGAAAATGCTTAAGCTTTGATTTGCTATTTATTGTTCTACAACTTGCTTTTCTCACTTAACAATATACCTCTGTTGTTGTCGATGGGTATAAATCTACCTCTTCCTCTTAGTAGTTGCAAAGTATTCCACTATACAGATGTGGTACAATTTCATTTACTATTTGCTTACTGATGGACAATTAGGTTGTTTCATAATTTTCACTACAATAAAAAAATATAATGTCATATGTCAATTATACTTCAATAAAAGACTTGTAGTATGCATTCTTTTAATTTATTTATAAACAATATAGAGGGGATAAATAGTGATGAAAATATAAAATCAAATTAAATTAAAAATTTTTTAATTAGCCTTGGCCGGTTTGGCTCAGCGGTTAGAGCGTCGGCCTGCGGTCCTGAGAGACCCGGGTTCGGTTCCCGCTAAGGGCGTGTACCTTGGTTGCAGTTTATCCCCAGCCCTGGTTGGTCGTGCGGGTGGCGGCCACTCGATATGTCCCTTTCACGTCGATGTTTCTCTCTCTCTTCCTCTCTCCCCCTCCCACTCTACCTGAACAAAAAATAGAAAAATGTCCTCAGGTGAGGATAAAAAAAAAAAAAAATTAATTAAAAAAATAAAAAAAATGTATATGCATAGAGAAAATTTTGGAAGGGTATATAGCAAAGTATTTATTCTAGTTGTCTTTGGAGATGGGTATTTTGGAGAATGTTCTCTTTCTACATTATTCATAGCTACACTTTTAAATTGTTTTTTATAAGCATGTATCATTTTTTTATAATCAGGAAATACAAAAAAATTTTGATATTGAAAACAAGTACAACTTAATTAAAATTGTAAATGGCAAAAAAAGAAAAAAGAAAAAGACTACTAGTCATGCTTGTCTCAAACCTTCCGGGGGTGACTACAGGGGCAGCATAGGTTCCATGGCGTCCCATCTTTACTGAAGTGGACCGTCAGGTCTTTGCCCAAACAAGGTCTACACCTTGAAACTTGACAGTATATGAGACTCCTCCCCTCTGCTAACCTGATGTCCCTCTCACACACTAAGAAGTTTTGTCCCTGTGACCACTGAGGATGAATTAAGGGGCTGTCACATCCAGTTTCCCAAGAGTGACAGCAGGACGGGCCTCTGTTGAGAACATTCTGTTCTAGAGTGGGTGTCCCCATCAGCCTCACTTAGGGTCCTTCCCATGACTAATCATAGGTACTGAGATCAGACATCACTTCCACAGAACACTCATCTTCAACCATAGTTCAAAGAGCAGGATGTAAGGAGATATTTCAGCCTTGCAGCTCTGCCCAGAGATGACAGCAGAGCTCAGCGGACTTATTTTGGCTCCTGACTTATGGGATGGATGGTTTTCTCAGCTCTGCTCAAGGTCTTTACTTTAGCTACTGGTCAGTCCTCAACCCCCAGCTTCTGAAACCTAAAGCCGCCTCTGTTGGAAAAGGCTTATTCTTGTTGGGTCACTGAGAAGAAAGAAATGAGGTGATCTTGTCTTGGGGGCTTCTCTTGGAAGTCTGGCATGGCCTGGGGTTTCTCCTTTTGTCCCCAGGTTGCCCATCCCACTAAGGCCTCCCTTCCCAGAGTGACTGGTTGTCTCACCTGACTATAAAGGCTGGGACCTCCTAGGTGTTCCCTGGGACCAGTGGAACAAACACCCTTTTGTGTGGTGAGTTAGCCCTTCCAACATAACTCAGTGACACCCGCCAGGGTGCAGGCCTCCTTCTGCTGAATAATCTGTTCAGAACAAACTCTTCACCCTCTGAGACCCAGAGGAGCGAGGGAAGGGTGAACTCGGGCTGCCATCCCCTCCCTGGGCCATCCAGGGCTGACAGCAGGGGAGGGCCGCCGTGGAGGCCGCTGCCACGGGCTGGGTAGTCCCAGTCCTCGTGTGCGCTCCTCAGATGGACACAGGGTGACAGGATGGCCAGGTGCCCACTGTCCTTTATGACCTCGGGCTCCACCTTCCACTCGAGGCCTGGTCTCTCTGAGAGTAGAATCGAGGGGACACTGCACGCGCAGGACAACCAGGGCTGAAAAACGGGACTCTACACCCGTCACACCCTCCGCCCGGGTTGGTGGAACCCTGAGAATTTCTGAGGTTCCCCCCAGAGCTCCCACAGGGCCTGAGGCTCCCTCCTTGCTGACCTGACATCGCCCAGCTCCGCCCAAAGCCGCACATTCGTCAGACTCCGGAGGCCAAAATCAGGCAGCCTAGGTAGGGGCCCAGCCTCAGGGAGGCCGCCAATGTGCGGGGAGGGTCGTCCCCTAACTCTATGTCCTCACTCAAGGGCCTTTTCATGATCACTGCTGGTCCATCTCACCCTCACCTCAACCCAATACCAAAGCCCACACCATCTCCTCTACCCCTCCCTCTCCTCCCCCACCCAACCCCAACTCCGTGCACCCTCAACTGCCGCCCCCTCAGCCAGTTCATCAATGATGCAGTGTGACGTAGGCCATCTCACAGCCCCGTAACGGTACTGCCAAGGAAGGTTTGGGGCTCCTGTCTGGTGCTTTCCCTCTTTTCTGTGATGGGAGTTGCTCTTAGCCCTCATTTCAAATCTCACCTGATACCGGCAACACTGGGGCTCTCCCCTCAGCTGTGCGGAATCCGCTGCCCTCAAATCAAAGTCCTGCCAGCCCCCAAGTCTGAAGGAGGAAGTCAAGGGGCGGGACATCCGGTAGCCCTGCCTGAGACATCAGGACTCAACCGTAGGGGCGGGGCTTTGCACCTACCTTAACCCCCCTCCCCCCACCCCGCGCTTTCTGCTCGGCGTCATAATGGAGGTGCTTGCTGGTCCCTGCTCACAGTCCTCCCTGTGAGGTCTCCCAGGCCCTGGAATTCCTCCCTCTGCCGAGCCAGTGTCGTGCCCCTGGTGCCAGCGTCCTCAGGTCCCCAGGATTCCTGAGGAGTCCCAGAGGGGAGGCCTTAGACTAGAGCTCTGCCTGGGCCTCTTAGGGCTGAAAGAGGGCGCTGGCCCATCTCTGTGTGACCCCCTCCTTCATTCTCCGGTGTTGGTCTCCGCTGTCCTCACTCATGGGCTTCTTTCTT